GGCCTAGGAAGATAATAAAATATTTAATATTTTGTTAAATGTTTTCTAGCCTTTACATTTTAAATTCAGTGAAATTATTTTTTACCTTGTAAATAAGAAGAAGTCAACGTGACATTAAAAGTAGTCTCAAATGTACCAAGTAAAGTTTTTCAATTATTTCAAATACAGTACTGGACAAGAACTATCTATTGAAGGAGCTAGAGTTTACTTGAAATGCTACATAGCTAGAGCTATAAACGTCTGTTTATCTAAGATGAAAACTTAATAAGTTTTCACTTCTCAGCACTCTACTTTTATGTAAAAGAGTTAAGTGATAAGTTGAGAAGATGAATTTTGGAAAATGTCAGAATCTGACTAGAGTGCAGATAGATTCAGCTTAATATCCTCTCTTCAGTGTTTGCAATTTAATGGATGATAACTGAGGCTCACAAGTAACTTGAATCAGCAATCAGCAACAAAGACTGACTTATATTTAGTATACCTTTGGGGTTCTGTATTTTATTGCTTATCTAACAGTTATCACTGTGAAAAGCTCTGAACACCTAGGCTGCCTTTGGAATCCTTTTATGAAAGAGATAGGAAGGGAAGTCAGGGGCTTTTGACCGCCATCTTGGATTTTTCCACCTCTTCCCTGTGTGACCTGGTAAAATCATACATGACATTAGCCTAGGAGATTGGATCAGTTAATGAGGAGATTGGATTTGAAAGTCTCTTTTTCATCATATTTTGTTTTTCCTTTTCTTTCAAACATTTATTTATTTATTGTGATTTTTCAAGCTACCAGGTCTGGGACTTGAACTGTGGGCGACCATGTGGGAATCCATTGCCTCAACCATGCCCCCTGCTGGCCCCATATTTTGTTTTTATAATTTATATTGTACCCTCTTCCAGAAGAATTTCAAAGGCATTTTTAATAGGCAGTCTCATTTATAAAACATAACAAAATAAAATATGTAAAGGCTAGAAACAGTATAGAATTTGAAATAACTAATAAAATGACTAAGTCCACTCAAAAACAACTCATACTAAAGAAGGGTTTCAAACTCAGTGTCTACAGAGATTAAGTAAGTGTTCATTTCAGATTCCTGCATAAAAGTATTCAACAAAACTCAGTGACTGAAAGCAACAACCATTTTGTTTCACTAGGGGACTTCAAAGAGTTTATGGAAAAATGGAATCAAAGTACGTTTATTTTAGTCCAAAAATTTTTGAAATCCATGCTCGTGTTTTTTGTTTGTTTGTTTGTTTTTATAATACACATCTCTTTTGAACTTTTTGAAGACTCCCCTCCTGGTATTTTTGCAAAGCAGAAATTTGGGCAGAAGTCAGCAGATTCTTCTGGCCAATAATGTCAATGGGGAACACTCAGTAGTATCCAGCTGGCAGACAGGCTGACTTTGAGAGGTCAATACAACTTCAGTCACATGCTGGCTCCTTGGCAAGAGTGGTTGAAGCTAGGCTCAGTGGCTACTGCAACACCTGAATATGCCTTTCCAGTAGAACCATCTCAGGGTGACTGGACATCTTACATGATAACTCAAGACCTCCAGAGAGCATCTTCTGAGAGATTGGGATAGAAGCTGTGAGGCTTCCTGTGATTTAGCCGTTAAGCTTCAGCTCAACGGCCTAGATTCAAGGGGAAATAAATCAAACTCCATCTTTAAATCAGATAAGAAGCTTAACATCTGTGACCATTAAAAAATTAAAAAAATTTTTTTATTGTCATATAGCACATATATCATAGTTACTATCTTAGCTCTTTTTATTTATTTATTTATTTGTTTTAGAGAGCTATTTTTGCTATAGGGCACCTGCACTCACCAGAGAGACAGAGAGACAGAAAGCAAGAAATCACTTCCTGGGGCATGGCCACACCACAATCCCGTTTCCTCCCTTTTTGTCTTGGGATTTTGGGCACGAATGCATAGGTCCCCAGTATGAGTTTTAAGCCACCGGGTCCAGGACTCAAACTGCAGTCTACTATGTAGGAGTACAGTGACATAACCATTACACCATCTGTTGGTCCCAATCTTAGCTCTTTTTAAATATATAGTTCTGTGGCATTAGGTATATACATATTGTTGTGCACCATTACTGCTCATCCATCTCTAGAACTCTTTCATCTTGCAAAACTGAAACTCTACACCCATTAGACAGTAAATCCTCATCCTTCTCTTCATTATCCCCTAGTAACCAACATTCTACTTTCTGCCTCTATGAATTCGATTACTTCAGATACTACTTATAAATGGAATTATACTGTATCTGTGACTGGCTTATTTCACTTAGCATAATGTCTTCAACGTTCATTTATGTTGGCATATGGCAAGATTTGCTTCCATTTTAAGGCTAAATAATACCTATTATATATATTATATATATATAAATATATATATATATTATATATATGTGCTATATTCAAAGTTTTATTGACCTTAGGGTTCTTTTTGCAAGAATGATGAGATACAAATTTTAATAAAAAATCTCCAACAGGTTGTCATACTGTTAATGTAATTATTGTTACTATCCCCACCCTAATCCTTGTAGCTTATACGCTTGTGGGTGTTTGAGGATATTCTCAGGCATGCTTTACATTTATATCTGCTTCTGCAATACAGTATATAAAAGATCTCTTAGGCTTTTTGTGGTTTGTTGTGTAGAGCACGATGGTGCTCAGATGTTTTGAGTAAATATTTGTTTAACTAGAATAGCTCTCTGTAGTAGCTCTTTTAAAACAGGGTTCCTGATCACCTTTGTATGGCACAAAAGCAATATACCTTGGTATGGACAGGCTGTAACCTTATATCTATTTTGAAAACAAGCCTAGGGTTGAAAATACATTAATAAAATAGATGGGGATGAAATAAACATTGCCCAGATAGGTCATAGCCCCAACAGGAGAGGGTAGAATTCTGTCAGAGTAAGCTGGTTGCAGTCAACATTTGTAGAGTGGTTGCTGTGTGCCAAAGACCCGGCTGGGGTTTCAGCACACAAAGAGGAGGCGGACCTGCCCACACAGAGCTGCCTGGCAGCCTCACATGATGGTGGCCAGTGCAGACTTTAGAGCAGGTGGTTGGGTTCAAGGCTCACCTTCATTCCTTCTGGCCTTCACCTCACTGAGTTGACTTCCTTCCAACTATGAAATGGGAGTGAAGCCATTTACTTCATATGTCTGTCCCTAGACTATATGATGCCTTACTTAATTTATTTGGGCTTTCTAAAAAAAAAACAAAAAAACAAAAAAACAAAACAAAACAAAACAAAACAAAACAAAAACCCAGAGACTGGATTGCTTAAACCACATAAATTCATTTTCTCACAGTTCTAGAGTCTGGAAGTCCAAGAGCTAGGTCTTTCAGGTTTTGGTTTCTGGTGAGGGCTCTTGTCCTGGCTTACCTTCTCATGGTGTGCTCACGTGGTCTTTTCTAGGTGTACCCATGTGGAGGGAGAGAGAGAGCTCTTTTGTGTCTCTCCTGTAAGGGCACTAATCCCATCAGGAAGTCTCCACCTTCATGACCTCATCTAATCCTAATTATCTCCCAAGTCTACTATCTCCAAATACTATCACATTGGGAGTTAGGGCTTCATTGTATGAATTTTGTGGGAAACGCAGACAGTCCATAACATGCATGTTAATCACTTAGCCAATGCACGGAGCTGGATAATCTCATCGTTAGAAGTGACTTTTCTTATGGATGTTTCCTTCTTTCTTCAGGCTTTTGCTACCAGCTATCAAAAGCTGGTATCAACAGCTATCAGTAGACACAGCACTGTAGTGAAGGCTAGAAAAAACTCTGAGTCACTTTAATAGGTTTTAAATGAACACTATCTAGCTATTGCCCTTATCCAAGACTTTGGGATTAAATTTAGTTAGCATAGACAGGTTTTCCTTTCTCTGGGTTGAAATCCCCTAATTTAGTATTAGTTCCTATTTCATAATAATATGACTCTAAACTGGGGAAGCCCTGATACTTCATTTCTGCAAGTGGATATTAAGATTAATTTGAAACTATGGAAATTTCTTCAGGCATGTCTTATGTTTTGATCAACTCAATAATTCTATAAATGGGATTTTAAAGTGATAACAAAAATACTACATATTTACATACTTCTAAAATTCAAAAATTGATTGAACTGTTTAAACAATGTGTGTTTTCTGTAATCAGGAACCTTTGCTATGCTCATGTGTTAAAAGTAGGTGTAAAGATTTGTTCATATTTTTTTTTGAGAGATTTTCGCTATAGGGCAGGTGTGCTCGCCAGACAGACAGAGAGAGACATAGAGACAGAAAGCGAGAAATCACCCACCAGGGGGGATGGTCATGCTGCAATCCCTTCTCCTCCATTCTCCTCTTGGGATCTTGGGCATGCACACACATGCGCCTGGCATGAGTTTTAAGCCACCGGGTCCGGGATGCGAACTGCGGTCGACTACGTGGGAGTCTGGCGACATAGCCATTACGCTAACTGCTGGTTCCCAAGATTTGTTCGTATGTTTTGTATCAAGCATTCAATCAAGGCAGTTAAAGTCAAGGGAGTTAAAATGGTAAAATCAAGGGGCCAGCAGGTTGCATGATGGTTGAGGTTCTGGAGTCCCACATGGCTGATCACATTTGGAGTCCTGTTCTTCATAGCTTAAAAATCACACCAGGCACATGTGTGTGCATGCCCTAAATTCCAAGAGGAGAATAAGGAGAAGGGATGGCAACATGGCCACCCCTGCTAAAGGGTGATTTCTCACTTTCCCTCTCACTGTCTCTCTTTCTTTCTCTCTGGCTAGTGCACATGCTTTATGGCAAAAACCTTAAAAAGAGAGAGAGAGAGAGAAATAACATTTAAAAAATAATAAAATCAAAACAATACACAGGAGAAAGGAAGATGCCAAAGACTGCCAAACTGAAGATTATATTACTTAAGGAGAAAAAAAGACTCATGAATACTCCAAAGAGTTTGAATCACTCTTTCATATATCACTGAGAACACTGTGTTTAATTCCTACAGAAAACCAAACCTTTGATGACAGAATTCTCTGTGAAGTCTACTATCATTTCTCGCTATGCCTTCACTACAGTTTCCTGCAGAATGCTGAACAGAGCATCTGAGGATCAGGAAATAGAGTTTCAGATGCAGATTCCAGCTGCGGCTTTTATCACCAACTTCACTATGTAGGTGACTTGCTGGTTAGAGATGAAGATTTCTATGGGGTGGTCTGGGTGAACCTGAGATGTTGTGAAGCCCACAACCTTTTGACTGTAGACAGTTTTTACCCCGGTATATGGTTTTTGGATCAGAAGGTTGACCTTGCTTTCCTTCCTTTTATCTTTCCTTCCTTCCTTTCTTCCCTTCCTTGCTTCTTCTCTCCTTTCCTTCCTCTCTTCTCTCCTTTCTTCCTTCTTTTCATTCTTCAAGCATTCCATTCCTCTCCATTTTCTTTCCTTCCTTCCTTCCTTCCTTCCTTCCTTTCTTTCTTTCTTTCTTTCTTTCTTTCTTTCTCTCTCTCTCTCTCTCTCTCTTTCTTTCTCTCTCTCTTTCTCTCTCTCTCTCTCTCTCTCTTTCTTTCTCTCTCTCTTTCTCTCTCTCTCTCTCTCTCTCTTTCTTTCTCTCTCTCTTTCTCTCTCTCTCTCTCTCTCTCTTTCTTTCTCTCTCTCTTTCTTTCTTTCTTTCTTTCTTTCTTTCTTCTTTCTCTCTTTCTTCTTTCTTTCTTTCTTTCATCCTTCTTTTTCTCTTTCTTTCCTCTCATCCATGGTATACTTCCATGAAAAAGACCGTCTTGCTCTGCTCCAGAATTTCTAGTGGGGAGATATAGTCAATAAATAAATAAACAAATTAATAAATGAGCATTTTAGACAGAAGTGAGTATTATAAAGATGGCAAGTAGAATCGAGACAAGCTTCTTTAGTGAGGGAGATCAGGAAGATAGCTTAGAGAAGGCTATGGTTAAGGAAACTTGAGTGAGGAGGTGCATGAAATCTTTGAAATATTAGATTGGTGTATTTAGGTTTAATTTTTTGATTGTTAAAGATTCAAGGGGGTAAATTTTTTGTAAGTTTGAGCAGATCTCGTTAGTTTTCTCTTGCAGAATCATAGAGGCATCATGTCATGGGTTGAGTCTTACCATTTGGACCTGTTGAAAATTGCCCTAGGATGAAATGAGTGATTCAAGGGTAGTGCCCTAGTCTGGAATGCATTCTTTCTGCATATCCAAGAGGCAAATAAAAATATTTCCTAGAGTTGTCATGGATATAAGACCCATGTTTGAACTGCAAGCTGGTTAACACAGCTGTCTCTTGTGTTTCAGGCTTATTGGAGACAAAGTGTATCAGGGTGAAATTACAGAGAGAGAAAAGAAGAATGGTGATAGGGCAAAAGAGAAAAGAAATAAAACCACAGAAGATTATGGGTAGGTATTATTTAATTAAGGAATTAAAAATCCATTTTAGCACAGTGTCAAATTTTCTACTAATTTTAACTAACAACTTGCTTTCTTCCCTTCTTCCAAATATATATTTTAATTTTTATTGAACAATAAATATATCTAACAGTACGGTAGATAGCATTTATAATAAAAAGAAACATTTTACTATGTCCTTTTCTGTTTTCACTTTTTAGAAACATCTGCTTCTAATATTACCATGTTTAATTTTCTTTGTAGTTATTATCCTAACTACAAATGTTAATTAGTCATGCTTTTCCTTGATTTCTTAATTAAAATAAGGTATCATCTGTTGTTTTCTTGTGAAGAAAGAGGAGTTAGCAAGTATACAATAATTCTGCTTTCCCTCTACGTCTCAAATTTTTGTCAATATTTGATTTCTTTTTTCCAACTAAGCACTATACCACTTACCTACAATCTTAAATGATAATATTCCCTCTCCTACCCTTGATTCTGCCTTTTTTTTTGTTTCTTATATTTTGTTACCTAAACATTTACTTTTATATTATCAGAGTTATAAATATTTAAATTTAGGTCTGTAATAATATCTGTATCTTTGTGTTGCCTATAAACTGAATCTAAACAGTAAAGACCAATAAATAAATAGCATTTGCTTTTAAAAAATAATTATTTAATTTAATTTAATTTAACTTATTATTATTTTTTAAAATTTGACCAGAGAGAGAGAGGAAGGGAAAGTGAGAAAGAAGCCACCAGGTCTGGGGCTTGAACCACAGTCATCCATGTGGGATTCCAGTGTCTTAGCCACCTCATTTGCTTTTTAATTACTATGTCAATAATATTAAATGCAGAGCCACATAGGACTAAGATTAATTTTCCTTTCTACCAGCCCAACACAAAAACCTCTAGTCTTTTACAGAAAAGTGACTATTGTGTCTAGATAAAATGCTGTAAACCTGTGAACTTGGTTTTGTTCATTAATAAAACGACATAGCTTTGAGAAGGCTAGTTCTCTAAAATCATAGACTGTCAGAAACTTTGCGTTGGAAATCCTATTAGTGAGCAGGGAACATTTCACTCTTGTCTAGGAGAACTAGGCCATGGTTCACTTTGATACAGAAAAGCAACCAAGGTTCAGACATTCAGAAAATGGAGGTACAGACACAGAATTCCACTTTTATCTTTTACCTTTTTTTCTTTTCTTTTTTTTTCTTTTCTCTTTTTTTTTTTTTTTTTCAAGAGAGATTTTTGCTATAGGGTACATGCGCTCACCGGATAGAAAGACAGAAAACAAGAAGTCAGTCCCCGGAGGAATGGCCACACCACAATCCCTTCTCCTCCATTCTCCTCTCAGAATCTTGGGCACACACACACATGCACCTGGCATGAGTTTTAAGCAACTGGGTCCAGGAATCAAACCACGATCCTACATCAGAGTCCAGAGATGTAAGCATTACATCATTTGCTGGTCCCTTAAAGTTATTTCTAAGGACCCAAAACTTTGAGTCTCCTTCTCAGGCCAGGCTGACCTTAATGGGCTTTACACACGACCCTGCTTTGCCTTGAGCAAATCCAAACACTGCTTCATTCAACTTTAACCTACACTCTACCCTTTTCCAAACTTGTAATAACCCTGCTTCTTCCTTTGTTTGGCATGAAGCTTCTTAGGACCTCTGGTATGTGGTCTTCCTTGATACAACCTATTATTATAACCTAACTCTGTTGGACTATGCATGTGTCCCAGGTGGTCTTTCTAACAATTGTTAAGAATCAAGCCACAGTTCCATTTAGTTGGATCATAGCATAGTAGTTTCTCTTTATCCTGAGATTTATTATTGCTTTTCTTTTTCTTATAAGGTAAAATATTTGATATTATTGCTATTTACATCTAGTAAGAAACAACTCATTTGAAATGATTACAAAATGAACATCCACAGCCAAATTTCTGCAAGCAGTGGCATTCATGTTTCCCCTGATTCCTGGCCAACACCAACTGAAAAACATCACTGATGGGGAGATATTCTGATTTCAGAGCTGTTAAAACATGAGTATCTCCAGATCCATGCAACAGTGTTATTGCTTTGCAGCCTTGTTGCAAAACTTTTACCTTGGGTTTCTTTTTGTTTTCATCTGTGTTGGTTTTGTTATATCTTATAGTTCATATTTTCCTCTTTCTTGGTTTTCACCTTTACTTTGCTGAACATAAATTCTGAAGTAACTTTCTTGGAATGGGTGCAGGAAAGGTAAACTTTCTGAGACCTTGGTTAATATTTTGGCTATGTGTGGAATTTAAAGTCAGAATAATTTTCCTTCTGGGCTTTGAGACTTTGATCCAATGTTTTATGATATCCAGTATTATTTCTGGTGCATTTAATGTGGTCTAACACCTTTCCTTTTACATGTTTAATCTATCTGGTCTTCTGAGATTTTACAATAAGGGATTTAGGTGTCACTGTTTTTTTCATTCATTTTGTCCGGTGCTCAGTGAAATTTACCTATCTCAATACTTGTATCTCCTTTCAGTTCTGGGAAGGAGTATAGGGAATCTATCAACTGAGTCATTGATTCATACATGGACTTGGAATTGTCCTCTCTGTATTCAGTCCCCTTCTACTGCTGTCTAGTGCTGTCCTACTGAATTCCGTCTCTCCGAGGTTCTGACAGAGAGTTTACTTGGCTCTCTTCTTTGCTGCAGTCCCTTCTTGTACATTCTTAACTATAGAGTTTCTGCTGTGTTGAACCTCTCAAGTCTTCTGGAAACCTTTTGGAACATCTTGCTTTAATTCTTCTTCTTCTTTTTTTTTTTTTTGAGAGGTTTTCAGTATAGGGTATGTGCGCTCGCCAGACAGAGAGACAGAAAGTGAGAAATCACCCCCCAGGGGGGATGGTCACACCGCAATCCCTTCTCCTCCATTCTCCTCTTGGGATCCTGGGCACGCACGCACACGCGCCCGGCGTGAGTTTTAAGCCACCGTGTCCGGGATGTGAACCGTGGGACTCCAGCTACATAGCCATTACGCTAACTGCTGGTTCCAGCTTTAATTCTTCTTAGAAAGAATTGCTCCTCTCACTCTTTTTTCCTTTGGTTTAATTCTTTTGTGGTCAGTCTGCCATCTTGAATAAGAGAGACCACACTCCAAGTATTGACTACATTTGAGATAGTTTGTATTTTCATAGGCTTTGCCATCCTTGTTTCCTAATTTTGCTCTCTAAACACATCCACCAAATTTTAATCAAGGTTAAAAATCTAATACAGGTTGTATATCTCTAATCTGAAAATCTGAAATACTCCAAAATTGAATCCTTTTGAGCACTGACATGATGCCACAAGTGGAAAAATTCTATACCTGGCTTCATGTCATGGGTCACTGTCAAAACATTGCAGTATAAAAATATTGTATACAGTTACTTTCAGTCTACATGTATAAGATGTATATAAAACACAAATTAACTTTTTATTTAGACTTGAGTCCCATCTTTAAAATATCTCACTATAAACACACACACACACACACATATGTGTATATATATATACACATACACACACACATACATATATACATGTATATATATGCAAATATTCCAAAATCTGGAAAAATCCTAAATCAGAAACACTTCTGATCAAAATATTTTGGATAAAGAATATGTACCCTGTATATTAGCTATTTTAATGTTATGTAAAATGTCAGAATTCATTTGGCCATCCTTGTAAAGGAGAAGCTGCAATTTACAAGTTGACTCCAAAGCATGCTCTTCCAGCTGTTGAGGTATGTAAATGTTTTCTTTCCTCCTTGTCCCCTTGAGTCTGTCTCTGGGAGTGGTTGGAGAGCTCAGTGGTCTTTGAATTCTCTCCTATTTGGTATTCTTTGACTCTTGGTAACCTTCCTCTAGTGCAGGTCTTAACTTTTCCTTCCAATACTATTTTAGTTTTTTCTTTTAAGGTCTCACACTGCCTTGCCCACTGGTTTCACTTGGCAGGATGGTCAAGAGAAGATGACCAATGTCCCAGTGGGATGGCTTTATTCTGCTCTGGACTCTACCTGTGATCTCTTTTTCCTTCCTGACAGGGAGAAGGGGACTGAAACGTTCAGAGCTTCTTTAGTGATCCCTAGCAAAGACAAGGCTGCCTTCATCCTCAGTTATGAAGAGCTTCTGCAGAGGCGGTTGGGGAAATACGAGCACGTCATCAGTGTGCGACCACAGCAACTGGTGGGAAGGCTGACTGTGGACGTGACTATTCTGGAGAGGTCGGGCATTGCGTCCTTGGAGGTGCTCCCACTTCACAACAGCAGGCAGAAGGGCAGCGGGAGGGGAGAAGGTGAGTACTGCTTGCATGATTCACTGAGGTCATCTGTGATAAGTAAGAGCTGGGTGTTAGCCCAGGAAAGAGATGGCAGTCCTTCAACAAAGGCTTTGAATTTTTGCGGGAATTGGGAAAGTAAGAACAAAACAAAGATAGTGTCCAGTGCAACATTTTCTTTAAAAAAAGTTGAGTTCCATTAGATTTTTTTAAATGTTCATTTTTTAAAAATTTTTTCTTCTTTTTTTTTTTAAGGAGATTTTTGCTATAGGACACATGCACTTGCCTGAGAGACAAAGAGACAGACAGAGAAGTCATTCCCCTGCCCCCAGGGGGGTGAGGAGGCCACACTGCGATCCCATCTCCTCCATTCTCCTCTTGGATCTCAGGGATGCACACACACATGCCTAGTGTGAGTTTTAAGCCAGGGTTTGGAACCTGAATTGTGATCGACCATGTGGGAGCCCACTACACTATCTGCTGGTTCCTGTATGTTCAAATTATATGACACAGTGATACATATTACTTCCAGAAATCTATCCTTCATGAAACATTGAAAATACTGGGCTTATGGGACCAGCAGATGGTGTAATGGTTACATTGCTGGACTCTCACATAGTCAACTGCAGTTCGAGTCCTAGACCTGGTGGCTTAAAACTCATGCTGGGTGCATGCCCAAAATCCTGAGAAGAGGATAAAGGAGAAGGGATTGTGGCATGACCATCCCCTCTAAGGGGTGATTTCTCTCTTATTGTCTCTCTGTCTCTCTGGTGAGCACACATGCTCTATAGCAAAAATCTCTTTAAAAAAAAGAGAATGGTGGGCTTGTTATAAGTGTGAACCTGTTTGATAATACTTGTTATTGTAAAAACACTTTATCAGCCTAAATATTCAATGATATGGAAGCAATTAGTATAAAAACAGTTATAAATCTGGGGCAAGCAGGTGGCGTGGTGGTTAAGGGCACTGGACTCCCACATGGCTGACTACAGCTAGAGTCCTGGACCTCATAGTTTGCTTTCTCACTTCCCCTCTCTCTTGCTCTCTCTTATTCTGTCCTTCTCTGTTATATTTAAATAAATAAATAATAAATAAATAAAGTTCAATAAAGTAGTTCTAAAAAACCAGTTATAAATAAATTCGATGAGTGAGGGAAAAAATTACAAAGTCATACATGCACTTACTGTAAGGTTAACTATATTAACTATGCTAAATGACAAAAGATCAGAAAATTTTATAAAATCATAATCATTTTATAATAGGGGTATGGAATTAAGGGCAATTTTCTAAAAATCTTTTAAACAGCAATATATTATACATATTCTTTCTAAAATAAATGAAAAATAGTTACTGTATATTCAATTTAAGATACATTTGGTTTTTTTTTTGGGAGGTTTTTGCCATAGGGCGCATGCACTCGCCAGAAAGACAGAGAGAGACAGAGAGACAGAAAGACAGAAAGCGAGGAATCACACCCCCCCAGGGGACGTGGCCACGCTGCAATCCCTTCTCCTCCATTCTCTTCTCAGGATCCTGGGCATGCACGCACACGCACCCTGCATGAGTTTAAGCCACCGGGTCCAGGACTCTAACCGCGGTCAACTACATGGGAGTCCAGAGGCATGGCCATTATGCTAACTACTGGTCCCTATTTTATTCTTTAATGAGACAGAGAATGCACACATGTGATAGACAGGCATCCTCGACAAGATCTCATCTCAACACAGTCCCCTTTCTCCAGCCCTCCAGTAGTCAGAACCTTGGACATGTGCACCGTGGTGTATTTCAGATAGACTGAGGATCTGGACCCATGATTGGCCATGTGGCTTCAAGAACTGCAAATCAGTATGCTGCTGCCGTACCACAGATACTGATTTTTTTTTTTTTTTTTTTTTTTTTTTTTTTTTAGGTTTTTGCCATAGGGCACATGTGCTCACCAGAAAGAGACAGAAAGAGGGAAAGTCAGAAGTAATCCTCTGGGGCAGGGGCAGGGGGTAGAGGTGGCCATGCTGCAATCCCTTCTTCTCCATTCTCCTCTCAGGATTTCAGGCACGCATATACACGTGCCTGGTGTGATTTTCAAGCCTCTGGATCCTTGGCTAAAACTATAGTAGGCCATGTGAGAGTCCAGCACCTCAGCCACTATGCCATCACTGACACCCAGATGCTCATTTTTAAAATTCCATGTCATTTGTTGAAGTGATTACAGAAAAGTCAATATAATACAATTTTATTTATTTATTTATTCAATAATTATTTAATTTATTTAATTCCATTTGTTATTATTATTTCCTTAATTTGATAAGAGAGAGACAGGGAGAGAAAGAGAAAGGGAAAGGGAGAAAGCAAGCCACCAGGTCTGGGACTCAAACCATAGTCAACCATGTGGGAATCCAGTGCCTTTAATCACCATGCCACCTGCTGGTCCCTATTTATTTAGTTATTTCTATAGGGCATATGTGCTCACCAGAGAGAGAGAAAGAGGGAAAGTGAGAAATCACACCCCCTCCAATGGGGGGTGGCCACATGATAGTCTCTTCTCTTTCAATCTCCTTTTGATATTTGGGGCATGTACGCACATGTGTCCAGTGTGATTTTCAAGCCACCGGGAACCATTTGAGCCACAGAGATGGCCATGTGGAATCCAGTGCCTTAGCCACCATGCCACCTGGTGGCCTCAATATAATCTAATTTTAATCACTACATTGATTTCCACAAATAGTTACTTGTGTGGGGCTCTATACTTAATATACTGATAAGGCTTAACTGGATAATGAGGCAGATAAGTTTAAATATTGTACCAGGATTGAAATGACAAGAATTCAGATAATTGTGACATCAAAGGCAGGGAAATGTTAAATAATAAGTGAACAAATGCTATGCAGAGTCTGAACTCACTGCCTGTGGCTGTAGCAAGAGTATAGAGAGGCCAAAGAAGCTTCTTGGACAAGGAGATTTAGGAATGAAATTGGAAGTGATGATACAAATGGAATAAGAGAATGTTGGTGTTTAACAGAGTGTGAAAAAGAATCAAGGCCTGGAGTGGGTATATAGCCTGACCAACAGTATGGAAAATATGCCTCCTCCCCACAGTGCATAGTTTAGTTGATGACTTCCCACATGAGATATTCCCTCTCAAAGACTGAGTATGCCCTGGCTCTGTGGCAGACCCAGGTCCTTTGTTATGTGGTGACTCCAAACACTGAACTCGACATTCTCAATCCAGATCTAACTGAAAACACAAATACTGTCAAGGTATCTGACATTCAGAAATGGCGTAAGATACAATATGAAATTCCTATGTCGTGCACGTGAAGAGTTATGAACTCTAGCCTTGAAAAAATGTCTGCGACCCTGTAGGATAGATTGTACATCTCTAAAACACAGGTAATAACTATCTCATGGAGTCACTGTGAAGTATTAGTGTATATAAAGTGCCTGGCCCAGAGTAACAGCTTAATAATTGTTAAGTATTATTTTCACCTTACATGTATTTTTTTTGTTTTCTATGTAAATCTTTTCCCCCCAACAAAATTGTAAGTGCCTTTGAAGGCAAGTCTGAGTTTGATTAACCTTTGTCTCCCTGTGGTATTTAATGCCATGCCTTTTAAAAAAATTTTTTTAATTACATCTAATTTTGAATGTGGTTAACTCACTGGGTGACTTCAAATTAGAGAAGAAAAGCAAACTCCCACGTGCACACATACACAAATAACAAAGGATGCTATAAAACTTAATTTCTCCTTAATCATATCGTAGAGGGAAATTTCCCTATGTATGAAAGAAGTAGGTTTTTAGGAGCTGGCAGGTTTTTTGGAGTTGGTAGGATTTCACTGAGAGGGCAGAGATTCTGTGAAGTGTGTCTGGGGTCAGCGGAGACTCTGGGGGTACTCATGCTGCAGCATCGAAATGAGTATTTTGCCTGATTTTCAGAACCATTGTGACTCTTTAGAGCTATGTATTTGTAGTGTGTGTGTGTGTGCGTGTGTGTGTGTGTGTGTGTGTGTGTGTGTTGTGTTGTGTTTGAAGGGGATATGAATTATGATGGTCAGCTGAAAAGTTGCTTACTGTTTATATGTTGGGCCTCTTAGTATCTCAGAGGAATTTTTCCAGACCATTGATCTCTTGGGATCTGTTTATTTTTAAGAAAATTGTTTTCATTGTTTTCGTAGTTCTCTGTACTAAAGCAGTTACTCCACTTTCCACCGAGATTTCACAAGCTTTCCCAGGGCTAGGTGCAGTGGATGACTTTGTTTTTTTGCCATTCCTTATTCCCATCCTTTAGAGCGCAGTTAATTATTCCTACAAAAGCGTGAAGCACAAGATGTTGTGATTCTGTCTGGGCACCATTGCGTGTTTCCAAAAGAAATCTAGAGTAGAGATCAAAGTAGAATTGAACTAGCGCCAGAACGTGAACTGTAACTTGTGAATGTGGCCCAAGCCAGTGCATTCCTCTGACAGATCTGGCTGTAGTTAAGAAATCAGACTTCTGAAATTTGTCTAAGCAGATCTTTGACCATTGGCCCCATTTTTAGCTTTAGGGATGCAATTCCAGATAGGAATTACTATGAGCTAGATGCTAGATTCAGCACTTCACATGTAACATCATCTCATTCAATCCTTGTATCACCTGTCTTATATTTTTAAACCTCATTTTATCTATGAAGCAGCTGAAGTCTACAGAGGTTCAGTAACATGGACAAGGTCTTGTACTTAATTATTGATCAAAATGAGATTTAAGCATAGATCTAACTCAAAGTCCATGCCCTTAACTACTGTACTATACTACCTCTTTTTTAAACAGATTATAAACTACTGGAGATGTGAGTTTAAATCCAGGGCTCTTCCTAGTTCAATATAAAAACAAAAAAAGAACTAGCTTTATGGCACAATGGTTAAGCTCTGTGCATAGGGAGCCAGATTCCACACAGATGATACAAAGATTCAACATGCTAGATGGGTTGCTGGCAGATGATGTAGTGGTTATGTTGTTGGATTCCCACATGGTCAATCGCAGT